TCACTACAAGAGCTGTTGGGTGCAGTGGAGGTAACAATGGTGAGGAAAATCCAACAGAGGAACTTCAGGACACTTCATCATTCCTTTATTTTTGCTTCACCTTTGATAGTCAAGCCCATAAAAGAAAGATGAGCAGCAAAATCACTGCTGCTCCTCAGGTCAGTATCACTAGAGAGGCTCTTGGCTATTTCACAGTTTTAACTCATTAAACCCTTATCAGACAAAACTCACCTCTTCATTTATTTAATGAGCTACTGAATGTCATTAATGACATAACCTTGGACTGCACGTGGCTGCTCTCAACCCCGAGCCCACTGTCAGGGCTGACTCCACTCTCCCAGGCTGCTCCAAGCCCTGTCCAGCCTGGCCTTGGACTTCCAGGGATTCAGGAAGCCTCTCTGAGCACCCTGTGCCAGGTCCTCACCATCCTCACAGGGAAGGATTTTTCCAAGTATTTTTCCAGTCATTATCAACTTCATGTGAGCTCTGACATGGCAGCTGATGGGTGAAAGCATCTCTAGCCTATTATTACCCTCTACTCTACAGTTCCCATTTCCTGAGCTTTTCAACTGAGTCCACTACACCAGAAATAGTGAAATGAAGGTAACATTAATCAGTGGGTCTCTCTTACCCATGAAGTTTAGAATAAATATATATTTATATCTAGCCATCCATTTGTTAAAGTAGGGCATTACTTTTGTTGTACCACTTCCAAACTCGCTATTCACTATTTAGCAGCCTTCCTGCAAGACACAAAATCCATTGTGTAATAATTTCTAGCAGGCTGCAGGAGTGTAAAAGTAGACAGTGTTTCCTTCAAAAATGGAATCATCTTTCACAGATGTAGATGTGTACTTGTTATGCCAAGATGAGACAGATGTGGCTCTATTCACTCAGGGACAGGTGCGGAGGAAGAAGAGATAAAACATTTGTAGAAAGTGTAAGCAACTGCATCGCTGTTGTTAAATAAATAAACATTCTGCCAAAATGAAAAAAAAAAAAAAAAAGTTTATTTGCTTATTTTTTTTTCCCCCAGAATGTTTATTTTAAGCTGCAGCTTAGCTGTGATTTATTCAGATTTATGTTCCTGTATCAATTTAAATTTATAATATGCATTCTATATATAAACATCTGTTTGTATATAATCAGGGGAAGGTGCATTGGCACGTACGGGTGTAAATGCACACACGCATTTTTCATGGAAAATGGGCTCACGGGCACGTGCAGGCAGCTAATCAGGTGAAGAATGGGAAAATATTTTATTAATATAATGAGGCTTTGTGTGTGCATGAGCAGGGGGTGGGAGGGAGAGGAGAAGCAGATGCTTGTGTTGCCTCACACAGATTAAGCCGGTTCAAGCTCCAAATTGCAGGAGAAAAGCCTAATTGCCCTTTGACCACACGGACACTAACAGGAAACCTCCATGCAGAGACATCCTTGGGGAAAGGCTAAAGTGGTTTGGGCCATACGAAAGAGCTTAAAGCTGTTCAAAGTTGGCTCCTGAACCACAGGAGTGGCTGTGGAACAGAGATGAGAGTGGTGCTGGGAGGTAGAGAAGGTGGTTCAGGTGTTGGGAGATTTATTCTATTTATTACCCCTTTATCTGTTGGTTTAGTTTTGTTTCATCAGAAATACTGGGACTTGCTCAGCCAGAAAAGGTGGGAAGGCAGGGACAACCCCAGGGAAATTCAAAATCCACCTCAGTGAAGGGATAATGGGCAGATCACAGCATCAGCTTGTTCTCTAACCACAGGAAATCTCCATGCCTGAGCTGGGACACCAAAATCACAGCCCCTGGGTTGTGAGGGCAAAATCACTCCTCATGCTTGGACTGGGGAGCCATCAATGAGAATTTCATGATGAAAGCAGGAATGTTTCTGTGTTTTGGTAAATATATGGTTCTGACAGCTACTGTAGAGTTAAGAGGCTTGGGCCAAGTTTTTTTGGTCCATGAAGAGAATCTTTAATAGTCATAAACCGTTAAAAAAACGTGCGAGGCTGGGCTTGTCCTGCAAGGAAAAGCAGCTCACTCCATGCTGACCTCCTCTCCCCCAGAGCACAGGCCCTCTGCTCGCTGGCCATCTCCTCCCTGCCAAGAGGATCCCTCTGGAGCCCTGATTTTTTTGGCATTTATGGGATTTCAGGCACTCCACGTGAGGTCATCGAGCAGGCGGAGCCCAGGCGCCAGCGGGAGCCTGGAGATGTTTATTCCAGGCTTTCTGTGCATCCCTTTGGAGAGCCCCATGTGATCCCTGCAAAACTCAGAGCCCTCAAATCCCTTGGCTGGCACTGGCTGGGTCCATATTGCCCATTTGGTGCCCAGCTTGGTGCTCATTTGCAGGCAGGCTCATTAAGGAGGCTGATTCCAGGGGTTTGAGGGTGAGAGTTCATTAAGGAGGCTGATTCCAGGGGTTTAAGGGTGCAGATTCATTGAGAAGGCTTATTCCAGGGGTTTGAGGGTGCCCAGGATTCATTAAGGAATCTGATTCCAGGGGTTTGAGGGTGCAGGTTCATTAAGAAGAATGATTCCAGGGGTTTGAGGGTGCAGATTTATTAAGGAGAATGATTCCAGGGATTTGAGGGTGCAGATTCATTAAGGAGAATGATTCTAGGGGTTTGAGGGTGCAGATTTATTAAGGAGAATGATTCCAGGGGTTTGAGGGTGCCCATGGCTCATTAGGGAGAATGATTCCAGGGATTTGAGGGTGCAGATTTATTAAGGAGAATGATTCCAGGGGTTTGAGGGTGCCCATGGCTCATTAGGGAGAATGATTCCAGGGGTTTGAGGTTGCAGATTCATTAAGAAGAATGATTCCAGGGGTTTGAGGGTGCAGATTCATTAAGGAGGCTGATTCCAGGGGTTTGAGGGTGCAGATTCATTAAGAAGAATGATTCCAGGGATTTGAGGGTGCAGGTTCATTAAGGAGGCTGATTCCAGGGGTTTGAGGGTGCCCATGGCCTCGTTCCTCCCAAAGGCAGCAAGAGAGGATGAGTGCAGACAAGAGGAGTGCCACAGAGCCTGGATGAAGCTGGATTTCTTTCCTCTGAAATATTTAAGGGAACTGGGGGAGGGAAGAGAGCAGGACGACAGCAGAGGCAACTGGAAGGAGCAGTGAGGATCCACAGCTGTGAGGAGGACTGGGAAGAGGAGGGGGAGGAGAGGCAGAGGGAGAGAGAAGGATGATGTGATTTAACAAAAAAAAAAAAAAAAAAGTATTAATCACAGCTCCAGAACAGGAATCAGGGTGGGAATCAGCAGCTGGGAGAGAAGGGAAGAAAATGGAAAAGATTATTTTTCATTGGAAATACATTTCTTCAATCACAAGTCTGCCTGAGAGCGGGAGTTTGCAGCTGGGCACAGCAGAGGGGTCCGTGGCTAGAGAAGGAATATTTTATATTTTTATTTTGAGCGGCTCTGCAGTCAGCTGGGCTCCACTCAGGGGTCAGAGCAGGTGGGGGACTCCGTGGCCAGCACGAGGTGTCACTGCCAAGGGCTGTCAGCCCAAAACACTCCTGTGCTCCCCTCTCTGCAGCACAGCTACAGATGGGCTTTATTCTGTGTCAGGACAAGGCAAGAGGAACATTTGAAAGGAAAGTCAAGTGACTTTTACATTTCCACAAACTTGTCAGCTCAAAGCTTTTTCTTTTTTCTTTCCTCTTACATTAAAGGAAGGAGGGTGGAGCAAAAAGTAGAAAGTTTGTTCACTGTGTGAGGGTTGGTTTGTTGCGATTTATTTTTTTATTCTTTTATAGCTTGACCAGTGAATCCAGCTGAACAAAAACATTCCCCTTTGTAGGCTGAACATTCAAAGACTTCACTCATTTAAATCAAAATGTGAGTTACTACTTTGAATGACAGGAATCATATGATTAAAAAAAACCCAGATAACAGAGGCATGATATAAATTCTCATGAATTCATGAGGAGCAATGACTGTTTAGTAAAATTTCTCTTTTTTATAGATGTCCAGCATGTTATATATGGGACTTACCATATGTGTCAGCAGGAGTAGGAGAAAGCAGCCACTGGTTTTGCTACCCAGTGAAGCTGAGAGCACAAAATATGTCACAACAATATTGTTACTTCCTTTACATTTATATTTTCTAACACCCAAGCACTGATTTGCTCCTTATTTAAGCAACATTTTCTTGATAAATTAAAAAAGCAGCAATAGCCATTACTGCAGGCTATATACAGCCTCTAATATCACTTAAGCATATTACAGAATATAATATCTGGTACTTAACGACTAACTTGCATATGAAAGCTCACATAATGTCTCATAAAACCCTTAAAATGGCTTCAGTTTAAGAGTCTCTTTAAAAAAAAAACACCTTCAGGGAATATTGTAAATGAAGTAGCACTCCAGCCTTAGAAAAAAAAAATCACACACTTGCAGAAATTTTTAATATAAATTGAACACATTAAAAATTAATTTTGCATGACCATTTCGCATTGCAGTGCCAATGCATAGTTAAGATAAGGCCTTAACTCTTCTTTGTTTAAAGTAACATGGAAACATCTCTGTCTCCCTCTCCATTATCTGTACATAATTATAATTTTCATTAATCAGAAACTGGAACCCCATCCTCTGATAATGACAGCCCTGGTGGAGATCAATGAAACCCCACCTGTGCCACTGAGGAAACTTGCTGTAAACTTTTAGAAAACTCATTAAGGGGAGGTGTGACCTCAGAAGATGCTACTCAGAGCATTTCTCATATATGCCAGCCAGGGAGAGGGACTGGGTTTGCAGGTTTGGATGTTCCCTTCTGTGCCACTTTTCTGGTGGAACTCTCGTAGGTTCTCTGGCAATGTCAGCTGTCAGCCTGGGAGGCTCAGCTGACACAAATGCTGGCAGCAGGGACTCCAAACCAGGCAGCAGTTTGTGTTACAGCCCTGCTCTTGCCTGGCATGTATATATAGAAAAGACCTTGAGTGATTTTCCTCTCCTTTTCCAGCTTTTGAGTTGGATTCGTGGACAGTGTTTCACAGTGAGGAATCCCCTCAGCAGGCCTGGGCTGCATCCTGGACATTGACCGATGCATTTTGCCCCCCTGGAACAGCTCTGGTGGACACCAGAAGGTCCAAATCTCTCTGATGTCACCTCACCACAGCAGACAACAAGGTTTTTTATATTCTGACTCATTTATAAGATGCCCAAGATTTTTATTTTTATTTCATTATCCCAAATGTATGATAAAAATCATAAAACCTGAGAATTGTTTGGTATGGGATGGACCATAAAGACTATCATTGTTCCAGCACCTTCTGCTAGATCAGGTTGCTCCAAGCCCCATCCAACCTGGCCTTGAAGAATTCTATTTGATGTTCACTTGATATTTTATCTCTTCATTGTTTTATTTACCTGCGTGTAAATCAGGTTTCTAATCCAATTCTGAAAGCTTGGGGTTTTTTTTTAATAAAATCTTTAATAGTGTGTCTGCCTGCTTTAATGATACTTGTTTGTAGCACTTCAATAAATACATCCTCATGTCAAATATTCAGGAAATATTGAATAATTTGCATTAAAGATGCTACAAAAGCAAAATGCCACATATCACTCATCAGGGATGGATTTGATCGGTAGAATCCTGGTTCTACCCTTCTTTGCAAATTAAAATAAATAGTTCCACTCTAACCAACAAATGCCATCTTCAGTCCAAAGTGTCTCAGAATTCACTGTGACTTCTAAAATATCTCAGTGTTCTAAAGGGCTCTAAAATATCCAAATGTTCTAAAAGGCTCTAAAATATCTAAATGTTCTAAATGGCTGAACAGGGAGAAAAGTCACAAGGGGCTGCACAGCACGGAAGCAGACAGAGCTGGTGAGAACAGAGCTAGAAAGGACCTTCTTTAACATGTTGAGCTAAATGTTACCCCATTTCCCAGGGATTTTAACTGAGAAAAATAGTACAGGCTTCCACCAAAGTGCACAGAGGTAGCAAAGCTGTGTTGGGTCTCTTTTACTTCTCCCTTGTAGATGGAGAGCAGGAGAAAATGGTTGAGTAAAGCAATAACAGTGTCCTTGTGAAGTTTTGCTGTCATGCTTGATTCTGCTGAGTATTTTTCCATGCTTAGGGTTTGCTGGTGCTTTTTTTCCTTTGGAAAACAGAAAGAAACTTCCAAACAAATTCCAAACAGACAGAAACTTCCAAACAAATTCCAAACAGACAGAAAATTCCAAACAAATTCTGGAAACTCATGGACCTGTGCAGGAGGTTTACCTTCAGAAGAGCACACAGAATAAAATGAGCGTTTCCTCCTGCTTGTCCCTATCACATCTTTAATCTCTTTGTGTGGTTTCTGAGGCTGCAGCAGCACCTCCAGTTCCAGACCATGAAAGAGAAGCTGCAAGGTAGCCTGGTGAGGCTGGTAAGCCATCCTCACCACACGTGTGACAGCCTGTTTAAAATAACACCTATTTTCACAGTGAACCCTCACCTTTCAGTCCACAGAGCTGCTTAAAGAGAAAAATAATTTATTTGAGGCTTCAAGTAGTGCAGGGTGGGGATTTCTGGCTGTGTGTTTCACCTGAGATGTGGGGACAGACAGAGCTCCATGGTCTCTAAAGGGATTTGGAGTTGTTGACCACTTGGAGGACTGTGGTGAAGGATTTTCACACAAGTTTTGAGAAGATTAACCCAAAGTGAGGGAGGAAATTGAGCAGGGATGACAGAAGTGAACAGGGGAGGAGAAGAAGCCTCTCACACCCTGTCCAGCACTGAGAATGCTCAGGGCTCACCCTCCTCACCCACACACTGACCCAAGGGCTGTGCACCAGGCAAGAAGTGGGAGTCGCTGCACTCTCTCAGGGTGGTGAGCAGATTGATTCATTTTTTCTCTACAGAAAAAAAACAAAAAAACCCCAACAAAACAGGTCAAATATATAAAACATTTCTCAAAATATGCATTGTTGCTGTTTCCATGTGTTAAGTTTGACACTGAGGCATTGTCTCTGCATGCAGTTTTCAGCTTCTGTCACGATCTCTGCATCACTCCTCAAATTTCCTGCTTGGAAACTGGATTTTTTAGAATTTTTCTCATCTGCCCAAAGGCTTTACTCTGTCCAATAAATCTGCTGCTGATCTCTTCAACATGGTAAACACACTCATCTTCTCACAGGGCTGGTGGGTCTGTGTCTGCAGAAGCACAGAGGAGGTTGTGTATGTTAGAGACTTCAGCCTGGAAACTGTTGTGCTGTTCTTTAGGGCATGGATTCTTCCTTCCTTTCTCCTACAAAGCTGTAAGAGAATAAAAAGAAATTACCTTTCATTGCAAGTCGATTTGTGGGATGTAATGGCACAATTTAGAAAGGAATATTGCAGACAGTGAGACCACTTGGATTAAAAATCTTGAATCAGTTTGTGAGGCTATATATTTCCATAGTACTGTGTTTTGTTGTGTGGGGAATTTAATAAGAGATGTAAATCTGCAAACTGCAATGGTATCACCATAAAGCATAAAAGATTCATGTATTATAAATAGGTATGACAAATAAATTATTGATGTGAATGTATATCTGTGTGTGTGTATACATGAGCTCATGTTCACTTTCCTTTTTGAAATAATTAGTGGCAAAGTCTTTTATTGAGCATTGCCCTGTGACCTGTGCGAGAGCTTTAATGACATTTCACACAAAGAGCTGAAGGTAGAGCCTGCTCTGTGCTGAGCTGGAGCATCTCAGACTCATTAACGTGGGGATCATCACAAGGCATGTACAGAACAAAAAAATATCCAAGCCCAAGGAGAGTGAGGATCATCCTGGAAGCGCCCAGGTACCCCCAGGAGTCTGAGACAGCAGTGTGCAATGATGTAAAGCATTACAGATTCCCTACATCACTGCTCAAAATGCTTCTGCATTTTGTAAATTCAGGTAAATCTGAATTCCATCAATCTGCAGCTCGTGCTGTAGCTGGTTTTGGCAGCCACAGTGACAACCTGACTGCGATGACTTCTTCTCCCAGCTCTGACTGACAACATCCCTCAGGAGCATGTGTATTACTCACTCCATGGAGTCACATGAACTGCACAGGAGCTCCAGATCTCTCCTCAGGAACCTGTGCCATCTATAGATAGCTGGCTACACAACACTGGCCTATTTTTAAGCCAGGGTGGGACACTTCTAAATTAAGGCGTGAGTAAAACGAAATTCTAGGAGAGCTCCAGAACATTAGAGAGAGAGAAGAAAAAAAAAATAAAAAATCCTGTGTGACTTCAGTTATGTTATTAACTTTTCCACTTTTGCTGCAGAAGTTGTTTCTGTCAATATTTTACTTTAACGGTGCTGAACGGGAGGAAGGAGCAGGGTCCAAGCAGATGGCTGTCAGCAAACTGATGACGGCAGTTGAGAATTAGTGTCCAAATACAGTATTTAAAACTTGCTACAGTACATAGTTTCCTGCATATGCATGCCAAAATAAATCTGGTTTGGAGAACCTTTCAGGATCTTAATTTTATTTTTATTTGGAACTTATTCTATTAAGAATAAGCAAACAGGCAGCGTACCTTAGCTTAGCAGGAGGGTTGGATCCATGGAGCATTGAGTGCAGAGCTGGGTGAGACACAGAGACCTTTCAAACCTTTATTCACTCCAGCTACTGACTTTCTGAACATCCCTGAGTACCAGAATGAATTATAATATTAATAACATAAATAGTATTAATTTCTAGCCATTTTTGCCTACCTCATGCACACACATTTTAAAATCCTTCCTTTTATCTCCAGCTGTGGTTTGGTTTTTTTTCCCCTCAAAATAATCTTCCTGAAGGAATGGGTAAGGGATGGGTGCCATCACTTGGGGAATATCTGATGTCAGGCTTCAGATCACTCGAGGCACCTGAACCAGATGCATTTTTAGCAGGGCAGGACAGCAGCAGGTAGCGGCTGCTCCATCCTGCACACATTTTTGGTGTAAAAGTGTGACTAATCTCTTGGTTTGGATACCTGGCTGCAGCGGGGTCAGAGCAGGGCCAGGCTGTCTGTGCTGCACTGAATTAGAGGCTTACATTCATTATCTCCCAATACCTCATTAAAACGACTTTAATGTGGTGAACATTTGATGGTAGACAAAAGCTTTAATCTTGTGAATATCAAACACACCTGTGTTACATTTCCTCTTGCGAGCAGTTAGCAGAAACAGGTTAACAAGCTATTTTAACTCCTTAATCTGTTGAATTTGTGTGGAAACCAGACTTTCACCAGTCACCTGAGTTTGAACTCGGTAAAAAAAAAATCCTACATACACCCCTAATTTATCAAGCTCTTTTTTCAAACTCTGCCTGCTCTAGACACTTTTAATCATCTGTTTAATTTTGCACCTTTTTTTTTTATCCTGATATATTATATGCAGGTTATACTTAAGGCCCAGATTTGCCCTATTTTTCTTCCTCATCTGACCTAGATTCAAATTTACACACTGTGAAATAGCTAATAAATCCCCATTAAGGTTGTAAAAGGTGAAGGTTCAACCAATGTGCAAGTCATCAAGTTCTAATGTAAAACTGAATGAGCCTTGATATTAGCAGCAGTCGCAAAAAGTGAGGCTGAAAAGCTCTACAGGTTTCCAGGTTTTTTTTATGGCAGCCTGGGCTTAAAGCACCTCACCTCTGACAACACTGTTAAGCCTGTACAACAACAGTGACAACAACTTGAGGCCTTAAGGACAGTAGGAAAAATCACATTGGCATTTCCAGAAAAGAAATATAAGTAGTTTTCTTTTTGCACCAGAATTCTCCCACTAAGAGATGTTTCATATTCCACATATTCTGAATATTTTGCTGCAAGAAAACACAGTTCAATAGATATTTCCCAATAAATATCACAACCTCTAAACACAAAAATTAATATAAAAGCCCTCATAACATACATTTCTTTTGTGTATCTCACTGCGTCAGTGCTGCCCTGCTGAAATGGGAGATTTTGCTTTGCTGTTGAGGTCTTGGAAAAGAGGTTTGTCAGTCCAACTGGAGAGTGCTGCTTTTTTTTTTTTTTTCCCAATAGCCATAGATAGTATTACAATGATTTACAGAGACACGCTGAAAGTAAATTATGTTGTAAATGCCTGTCCCTTGGGTCGAAAAAGAATCACAGGGAAAAAATGCAAAAAGTTTGAAATTCCCAACAGCAAAGGTTGACAGGGAAATATGGTGTTGTTTTTCTATGAGTAAAAGTAACTTTTATGTTGTGTTTTCCCATGAGAAATTATAAACTTTCAAAGGAATTTTAGTCTCTTGTATGCACACATAAGAGCAATTTATCTGGTACTGCCCCAGTGAAAACACTGTTAAGACTTTAAAGCTGTTAGAACTATGGCTGAACTTCATCTAGGCTGCTACTACTTATTTGTTCTTGCTGCCTCTTCTTGTCAAAACATTTACTCAGACTTCGAAGAGTTGCAAGTTGGCAACGTGTTAATAATATTAGAATGCATTTGTGTCCGCCATGTGGCCGCAATATTTAAGTAAATTCATCACTTATTTAATGAATAATGAATTCACGAGAGTAGCTATGGAGACATGGAACCATATGTAGTAAATTAAATGGGAACTTGTCAACGTACAGTAACAGTGAATGTCACCAAAGTAGTTTGTGTCTGTTTTATAGCAGTGGTGATGCACTTACACCGAGCCTGGGATGGATTCCTCACTAGGTACAGGACAGCCACATTTTTTCACACCTAAGCTGCAGCAGTGATTTCTAACAGGTGTGGTAATAAAGTGAGAATTTACATGAGTTCCTCGTTGGTGTGTGCAGGGAAGGTGGAAGAATCTCAAGTTTTTCAGGCTGTAAATTACTTAGCAGCATTTGAAAAGAAAGAAAGGTTGAGAGCTGCAGGAGTTTGGTTTTTTTTTTTTTTTTTCCAATGGGAAAATGTCACCAAGGAATGGGGGGTGGGTGTTACTCAGCTCAGGTCTCATCTGCCCTACAGCATAATGAAAACTCCAGATATCAAGGATGATTTCCAAGCTAATTAACAGGGAAAATCAGACCTGAAGAGCAGTAAAGGATATACAAGAAGCTCATTAACACGAAATCAAGAAAAGAGGGTGGTGTAAAAGTTCAGAAAGCTGAGTCCATCTTTCTGTTTGACTTCAGAGCCACAAGCAGTCTTCTGGACATTGTGTTAGTACTCACCAACTTAAGAGTGGGACTGTTTTGTTCCAACTGCCTTCCAAGGGCTGGGACACCTTCTACTACATCAGGTTGTTCCAAGCCCCATCCAACCTGGCTTTGGACACTTCCAGGGATGGGGCTTCAATCCCTGATTTGGAAATATGCAGGTAAACTGTGTTCAGAGCACCAGAAACCTAATGATTAATGGGACTGATGAGCCATGTGTAGCCTTGGGTTAGCAAGGACCTGATCTTTGGTTATGCATGTGACTAAAGAGGTTTCACCTACCTGAAAATCTTCTCTGGTGCAATCCTGTTGGCTAAGGAATTCAGGCTCTTCCAGTGAAATCTTCAAAAATGGAGGAAACTTCACTTTCTGTGCCTAAGTGGTGTGTTTAAATGGAAATATCCTGCTGTTGATGTAGATGAAGGTCCTTTTTGTGTGCACATGGGAATAGTTTGCTGCAGTCAATAAAAACAGATAAGAAACCATATACAACACAAACACGGGAAAGGAGATAACACAGGAAAGGAGATAATTGCTAGAAAACTAGGGCAGAACTCGTAAAGATTGCAGCCATCTTTGTTTGAAATATATTAGAAGACCACATCCAACTAAATCCTGGCTTAAAGTTATGTTTATGCTTAGGACATCCCCTGAGGTTTCAGAAATTTTTAAAGCCAAAACACATAAAGACATGCGGCCTTTCAGGTCAGAGACAGTTATGGCCTTGTCACATTTCAGACATAAAGCTCATTTTTCCAGCAAGTTTCTTCTTGAAGAACTCACTTTTAGGCTAACAACAGTGAGAACAACAGTGAGTGGAGTAACTACTCACTGCCGCTCTACACTGAGCAACTCAGAGCCCACCTTCACGAAGACAGAAGTCACTCAGCTGCCCCTTTTTGCACCTTGACTCCTGGGATCTTCCCAGGGTTTATTCCAGGGTAATTTTGGGGGTCCATGTCACACCTCCAGAAGTTTCCCGTTGTTTTTTCAGCCGCTGAGTTGCGTTCAGTCCCGTCACGTCACGTCGTGTTGAGTGGCATTATTGCCTTCAGAAATGATGGGACAGAGCGTGACTTGATGTGCTGTGAGTGATGTGACACGGTGTGACATATGTCATAAAATCATTGTCACCCATCAAAAAAAAGTGACAGATCAAATTCAAACAAAGCTCGCCATATACTTTTAGTGGCTACCCAATCAACTAAAAACAAATATTTCGAATGGTGAGCCAAAAGCGTGGGAGTGTGACTCATTTTTGGTCAGTCCTCACATGCCTAACTTGGCATTTTGCATTTCTTCCACTTTCCTTCACACTGTATTATCCAGTTGGTGGGGAGGAAACTTGTTCAGTTCATTTATATTATTCAGTCTGCATATTTGTCAGACCATTACTTCTAAATATGTTCTCCTAGTCCTTTTCACGAATTGTCCCCATTTACCTTCTCTTTCTTGATGCATTTGAGTTATTATCATGTTATGAAAGTAATAATGTACAGAAAAGGTTGAATTTGTCATCCTGCAATGTTGTACAAGCCAAACTATCAAGAATGAGGAGATAATTTTCTGTAATTCTACATCTGAAGAACACACTATCTATTCAAAAATATCACACTGCTTTATTTCCAGGCTGCATATCTGCTCATTAAACATTTCTAATAAGGAATGTAAGATAGAGGGAGAAAATAAAAAGCACTTTTGCCTTGTAAATGAATTGCTGCATCTCTGACTAAACCAATATCAGAGTGGGAATAAGCCCAAACAGCTTTTCAAGACTGGAGTTGGGACAACTGGCAACATGCAGTAAGTGGTACCAGAGCATTACCATTGCTCTAATATTCATGGAGTCAGGGAGTGAATTTCCAAATTTCCCATGTCCAAAGGGGGAAGGCAGGGATGTGAAGGATGAGGTGGGTGCGCTCCATCGCTGTGATCGCATAAGGGAACCCCGAAATGTCATAAAATCCCACTCGGATCTGCTGTCACTACTGCTGCCTGTATGGAAAATTAACACATTTAATTAACTGCCTGACCAAGGCAGCTGTTACCTTATATAAAACCTTGAACATCGATGCCCAGCATATCCCATTAGGTGTTCCAGTGTGCCAGTGGCATAAGACTGATTATTCTTTTACACCAAATAGCACAGCAGGACTCCTCTTGCAGCACGCTCAAGTCAAGATCTTCCTTAAATTCTTCATGGGGCATAATGATGCTCCAGCCCAAATTGCTTAATAATGTTGTCTTTCAGGACAGCCAAGAAGAGACACCATGCACAGCAAAGCATGTCCTGGCCAAAGCAACTCCTTTCTCTGCCTTTGTTCCTGACATCTGAAAGTATTGTTGCTGCCTCGGCTGTGGAAGCGTTTGGCATGTGATTTCCATTGGAATACTACAAGCACTATTTTATTTATATTCCCTTTCTATCATTTATGGCAGATGGTTACTTGCCTTAAATTTTTAAATAATATCTTGGCTGCAGAATTTCAAATTAAAAGTAAACTCCCTAAGTCAGAGGAAAGGGTAAGTTCAGTTATTTTTTAAAAAGTTGGTTAGTGGATTTTTTTTTTTTGGTAGTGCTCATTCTGTACATGCAAGTTTGCCTGCACTGAGCATCCAGATTTATACATTTTATTTATTTATTAATATTTATTTATTGATATTTATTAATATTTATTTATTAATATTTATTTATTAGTACCTATTTATTTTTCCCTGGAAATACTTTTCTCCTATAAATTTGTTTGCATATAGACTTCAATAATTAAACACTTGAAAGGTAAACCTTTTCTTCAGAGCTGAAACAGTTACAGATTATTTCATCATTGTGGATGATATTTTGCACACATATGAACATTTCCTAAAAGAAATTCAAATTTTCAATCAAGATTTGGAATAGAGCAACCTCTAGACATGGAGAATTTCTACTCTTGGTATTTTTGCTCTTAATTATCTTTACAAGCCCCTTTTTATGCTGTGAAAGTCACAAATTAGACAAAAAAATTTAGAGGCTCCAAACTGCACACAGAAAAGGACAGGACAAGCTGGCACAGCCCCATTTGTTTCAGCAGAAGAATTCAGTTTTAATGTTTGGCCATTAAGCAATATTTTAATGTTTGGCCATTAAGCAATACCAAACTTGCACACAACATTTTCTACCATAGGTTTCAAATCACTGCGAGAGGAATAGACCCCAATCCTGCAAACACTTACGTGTGTGTAACTACACATATGGGAATAATCCCATTGAACTGATGGGATTACTCGTGTGCATAAAGTTAAGCATGTGTGTAAGTGCTTGCTGGAGCTGGGCCTGAGGGAGAAAAGAGGATTTTTGAGCCATTGGTACAGTGGGTGTGAATGTTCATATTCCAGTTGCGTGGCTTCAAATGCTCCTCCCCAATTCAAAAGTTTTGAAGGAAGAATTTGCCCTCTTTTCCATCAAACCAGGATGTTTTAAGAGCCTATGAACCATCCATTATCATAGTACAACACCACTTCTAAGGAGGTCTCCAAATAGCCAAGCAAACTTAGAGCACAAATACACAAAACCACAAATAACCTGAGACTTGTGTTGTGTTCCCTGCCCGCAGTCTTCTCACAGATCCTTTCAGATTTGCAAATTTATGTAAACAAATTCAAATCTACAAGTTGCAAACTGCACATAGCTGATATTCATGTGTTTGGGTTTTCTTTTTTTTTTTCTTGGTAATCTCAGGTGAAAAGATTCCTGGACTAGACATTTGAAAATGAGAAGAAGCAAATGGAAACTGAGTTATGAACTCAGTTTTAAAAAGAGCTCCATACGTAAAGAAAAAACAGTTCATCTAAGGTAGAGGGTGCAAAATTTCCTTGTGTAGGAAGGAGATAGTTTAGCCAAAAATATTTTCAGAAAAGAGCAAAAATATAGACAATACAATTCTCTGCTTGGAACGTCTTATTTTGTGTACAGGGAACAGCTAAGGGATCCATCAACTTGGTGTCAGATAAGGAGACATCTTCTTGCCTAAACTCCTCTCCCCTGCCATGCTCCCAGTCAAGTTCCTTGCACATTGAGTTAGGAAAAGTTCAATAATGGGAAAGAAAAATCTTCAGGTGCAAAGTGTCTGGCAACAATACCTTGGGGACCAAAAAGGAAGAATTTTTATAACCAATTTCCCAACCAGAGGAATGTCTAAGAAATCCCAGATAACTGTTCCCACTGAAGTTCTCTGTACCTAATCCTGGATATATATTCTCAGCCAGGATTTTAACACTTCAGCTCCCAGGGTTGCTCAGAGACACATTTTCACCAACAAAGGAAGATCTGCATGTCAAATTCCCAGTTCTGTATTTGGGAGATGTTAAGAACATCTCCTTCATCCTCCACGGATCAAGACCTGGTCACTGAAACTGGAAAAACTCAGCTTATCCTTAGACCATTTTGTTATGTTTTCACTGAATGAACTGACAATTTATATCACAGCTTCTCCGATCCTCTGGCTCCTGGAAATAGCCATGTATTTAAAATAAAAGCAAAATTATTAATGTTTCATTGAATCATTTAGGTCTAAAGATCTTTAAGATCATCAGGCCCACCATTTGACCATGTTCCTCACTGTCACATCCACACACATTTTATATTCCTCTGAGGATGGGGACTCCACCACTGTCCTGGGCAGCTGGGCCAGGGCTGGACAACCCTTTCCATGAAGAAAATTTCCCTGATAGCCAATCTAAACCTCCCTTGATGCAACTTGAGGTCATTCCTCTTGTCCTATTGCTTGATACTGAGGAGGAGAGACAATCTGGCTGCTCCCTCCTGTCAGGGAGCTGTGCAGAGTGAGAAGGTCCCTCCTGAGCCCCCTTTTCTCCAGGATGAGCCTCTCCAGCCACTTCTGGTGCTCCAGAGCCTTCTCCAGCTCCACTGCCCTTCTTTGGAGATATTGCTATGAAATGCCAAATAGAAACGTGTCTGTGTACGTTGGAATTCAAATAGAATCACTTATATGTGGCATTTGAACCCTGATACTTCACCTTCTTGTCAAAGCTGTGGAGAGCAGCAGAGCAAAGTCTGTGACAGCAAAAAAAACCAAAAAAGCAGGAAGACTATAACAAGCTTGACCCTTATGTACTGCAGACATAAAGCTGGAAAATTGTGTGTGGTCTTCCTCTGATGCCATACTCAAGATTTTTATTGCAAACACCTTCCTTCCAACATCCATTTAACATGCATCCATCTGTCAGGCAGTGTTTCCCACAGCAGTGTTAATGTGCATGTGCTCCCTTCCACTTTGGTAGTTCACACCTTTAACTAGGGCTGGAGCCAGAGTGCAATAAACAGCCTTCCACAGTTTTGAGTATAAAAGGCTCGAAATGTGAGAGACACTTCATCAAAAAAACAAAAGAACCAAGACAGAGCAGTTTGGAGCTCTGGAGGGCACAGGGGGTGGTGGGGTTTAGAACCCTGCTTGAAAATACCTCTTCTAAAAAGTAAGAATCATGAATAATAGCTGAAAAAAGAGGATAGAAAATTGTATTTGATGGGAAGGACACAATCACAAGCTAAAAAAAGAAGCCCTCGCCTGGCTCCCAACCAGGTGTTGTGTCTTAACTTGTTTAAAAATACTTCTGGTTGTGTTTAATTAGTTATGACAAAAGATCCTCAAAGAATGTATCAGTTCAAGCCTTGAGTATGCCTGCAATATTTCACCTCTGTTCAGGGGAAAAAAAGTATCACTGAGATACAAAAACTTGAAAAAATACAGTATGAAAGTTACTGCCTTAATGAAATATTAAAAATGCATCAGGAATACTGTTCTGGCATTAAAAATAAACAATAACATTTCTTCCTAGTTACGGTTCACTTCAATTCTTTAAAAATTAATTATTACCTCTTTAAATATTTGATTAAATTAGATTTGGGTGGGTTATCGCTATCCACAAAATACAGGGTGTTGTGTATAAATTTGCTTTCTTCAGTCCCTGACATGTACAGGCACGTTATACAGTTGTTTGATTATTAGGAAACTAAATCCAATGGCTCTGTTTTGGCAGTCTGCAAAATATACACTATTGAATCTTGCCACTTGGAATGGAAATGCAGCAGTATGTTGGAAATCTCTAATAAAAGGAGAAAAGTAAAGCAGCAGAATTACACTATGTGATATTTGGGATTTTCACATCAGATCTTATCGTACTGCTATATCTCACATTCTAAAAAGGGCACATTATTTTTAATAATGGTTAATTAGGATTTGGGGATAATAGCTTAGAAATCATGAGAAATTTCTGGGCATATAAAGTCTATTCTGTTCTCAATGCACAAGGATTTATGAGTATAACTACTTAGATAGCAAGGGGAGAATAAACCCTCCAGCATGTCCTAAGAGAGGTGAGACAATAATTTCTCCAGCATTATGATAAAAGTAATTTAGGATGTCCAACTGGATAAATAAGAAAAGTCTCGGAATGAGCACCGGGGCTGCTACAGTTATAAAACATTGATTTAAATTAACACCTGGAAGTGTCTAAGGCCAGGCTGGATGGGGGTTGGAGCAACCTGGAAAAGTGGAAGATGTCCCTGCCCATGGCAGGGGTGGGATGGGGTTTAAGGTCCCTTCCAACCCAAATCATTCCATGATTCCTACCCCTAGACCAGGTAAACCTTCCACTGCACCAAGTTATTCCAAGCCAAATCCACACTGGTGGATGTACAATTTTTGATGCATGTGTATTTTTTAAAAACATCAGATGATGTGGCACTTTACCTCAAATCAAATACAGTGAGATTCTCAATGGGTTTTTCATTTCATGCTTTGTCCAAGAAAAAAAAAAATTGAGTTTGAAACAACCAGGGTTTGGAGATATGCCTCTTTTCTATCAACTATATTGAAAATATCCAGCTTGATCCTCAAAAAGCCAACATTAAAAAAAAAAAAATTCAACCTTCCCTTCAGATTAATATCACAATTACAACATCTGGTTCCTGAGCATGTGTGATGGTTGTTTCGAAAGGATAATTGACTTTGTGGGAAGGTGCTCTGTTCATTGTTCAGATATTGTGGATGACACTTCCTCTCCCCTTGCTCCTCAGCCCACAGGATGCTCCCATCTCACACCCACTGGGATAGCACAGGGAGTGCTTTCCTATGGGCTTAGGCAGAGGGCTTGCTGTGAAAATCGATCATTCCTTGAGACTGTATTAAAAAATTGAGGCAAATTATATAAAGAATTTTATAAAAATTAATTGCTTGCAAAAGTTTCGGAAAAATTTAAAATGGAAATTTTTATGGATTTTTTTAAATAGATAGAGTTTGGGCTTTTGCTAATACTGCATAGAGCATTACAAATAAAGAGATAAAATTCCCAGGTGAACTTCATCACTTCTATCATGAAAGAATTCTTCCCTGTGAGGGTGGTGAGGCCCTGGCACAGGGTGTCCAGAGAAACTGTGGCTGCCCCTGGAAATGTCCAAGGCCAGGCTGGATGGGGCTTGGAGCAAACTGGGATAATGGAAGGTGTCCCTGCCCAGGTGGAAAATTATTATCTTTAAGGTCTCTCCCAACCCAACCCATTCTGGATTTCACGAATCACACTTTTTGTCACCCAAACCTGACTGCAGGACTCAGCTCCCTGCACTGCATGGTGTAGTTTTACTTTTCACTTTTATCTTTTTTTCCCCCAGTATGAGATGCCGAACTTTAGAGAAAGATTGAGTTATTGGCAGGAATTGCTCCCACTCTCCAAGTAGCACAGGCTTCTCAAACTAAAATAGAACTAGAGTGGACTGAAGAGGCTGAACGAGGCATTTATCTCCTCTTGGCTCTGAAGTAGAGGCATCCAAATTACAACAGTGGAAATCCGGAGGAATAGCAACTATCTTGTGGGGGAATGAGAAAGAAAGTGTCTGGAAAAGCCATCCTGCAGATTGAACTCTCTTCCTGCTTCAGGAGCCATCCCCGGGTGCTTCAGCTCAACAGCTATAGACAGAGCTGAGGCACTCAGAGCAGTAGGGCAGGAAGCTGGGCACAGGCAGCAGTGCAGGAAAAAATGTTTGCATGATTATATATGGGATCATCCAGGCTCCATTTGCATATTTTGATTTTGCTATTCACCAAAGTTGGGTCCCCGAGGCCCTTTCTGAGGTCACTTGGGGGGCACACACAGGGAAGTGGCTCATGAGAGGCAATGGGGAGAGCTCGCCCTCAGTCAAGAAACCTGCCCAAAAGTGGAAATAAATTGTTCCTGTTTGGGGAAAAGAAAATATAAAGGAAAGGAAAAAAAAAAAAAGCAGCTTTGGATGGGAAGACTGTTTCCACAGCCAAGAGGAATTATTTAAGTTGGCTAATACAACATGGCCAGTTGATCCTTTCCCTTTCATATTCCTACTTGCCTGTCTGCCCCCTCCTTGGGAGCGTCTGAAGGAAGGGAAGGAGCAGACAGATGTTCCTGGCCTGTGCTGGTGGGGAATCAGGGACACATCTGAGCTCCTTGTCTCTCTTCAGAGCCACCCAGCTGGGAATGGTGACTCACAGCTGGGTCACGAGGGCCTTGCCATCAACCTGGGAGGATGATGGATTCTCAAAACATTTGCAACTGCAAAAAAAAGTAAAAAGAGAATCAAAGAAAGAAAAAATAAAAGGGAACAAATTTATGTGAAAGGAAAAAATTTTCACCAATTTCTGCTGGTTTTTGTTGTCTTTGGAGAGACAGGCTGGTAAGGAGATGGTTACCCTGTCCCCTGAGCTCCGAGCAATGGGACAGCTTCCAGCATTCCTTGTCCATGCCTGCTTGAAGGACTTTGGACAAGTGCCAGGACAAGGGGGAATAGAATCAAGCTCACAGAGGGCAGGGTTAGGTGGGACATTAGGAAGAAAATCTCAGTGGTGAGGCCCTGGCACAGGGTGCCCAGAGCAGCTGTGGCTGCCCCTGGATCCCTGGAAGTGCCCAAGGCCAGGTAGGACAGGGTGTCCCAGCATCCTGGGAGAGTGGAAGGCGTCCCTGCCCATGGCAGGGGATAAAAATGAATGAGCTTTCAGTTCCCTCCCAACTCAAACCATTCTGTGAGTCTATGAAAACTAAAGAACAGATTTTCTTTCCTGAAAGTATCAGCATTTATGAAAAGGATGCTCAGAGTTTTCTATGTCACTGCGAGGATAAACCCATGATAAGTGAAATAATGCATTAGCTTGTACCTATGTATAGTTTGGATGAATAACAAGTGTTTAAAATTTTGTGGGTTTATTTCATTTTAAAATGGATTTAAAAGTTCTTGAGCTGCTGGAGGCAGCAGGATCCAGCAGGTCAGTGGGGGCTCTCTTCTTTTTCCACTGCCTTCAAGTATTAAAGGAACTGAAGAAGAGTTATCAGGAAAAAATTTCATTCAGTTCCTCACAGGACAGTAAATGAGTGGCACTGTGGAAAAACTCACCACATGGCCAATGTTAATGACCCAGGATACAGCAGCTCCCCATTTTTTACCCTCCACTCTGCTCTCTGACTGTTGGTGAGTGAAGCATCAGCCGAGCCTGAACACACCATAGGATTCCTCCTTGTCTCTGCAGCTCTTATTTCCTTCATTCTCACACATTACTTAAAATCAACACATAATTATTGTGGGTTTTTTTGAGAAACATATTTTTCTCCCAGAGAAGGAGGAGTTTTAATGTAGTATTTTCTGACAGAGTTCATTCTCAGATTCTTTCCTTTTTGCAGTGACAGGCAAGCTTCCTCTGATCCATTCAGAAGTAAAGCACAAATGATATCACATCACAGTTACTAGTATTTCCTTATTGATATATTTCCTTTCTATGGTGTTTTCCCTTGGGACCTCTTTTTCAAACAGCATGTTCAGCTATCAACAGGTTTGATTCAGGAATATAAAAATAGTTAAGACACCAGAACTTAAAGTTAGTGGCCTTTAATAGAAATGCAGAAAAGGAACTGTGTGTCATGATACAGAAGGATTAAGACTTTTTAAAAATAGGGAAAAGACAAAAAGAGCTAAAAATGCTTTTCCATGTAATAAATCTGAAGGGGTTACCTCAACACAATGCTGAAGAGATTTGCTGTCTTACCTGTTTTCTCTTTCCTCCTGTTGGCCTGTCCATCCTCCCCACAGATATTCCTTCTCTTTCCTGCAACCAAAATTCACTTCAGTTTCTTTGTCCCACCAAAATCCAGCACAAACCCCCAAAACCTGCCTGCAACCTCCAGTCCCAAAGGCCATGAGAGGATGTGACCTAGTCTGTTTGAAGGATTGCGATATTTTAGCCTATTTATTTATTTCATTTTATCCATTTGAAGATGGGAGCATTTTCAGGGGATATCACTGAGTGGTGCATTCATCACCTGGTTTCTTGATGCAGAATTTTTAATTTTACTGGATAGTAATAATAAAGAGTTTAAAGTCAGCTCAGAGATCCAACTCTGTGTCTTCTGGAAGTGATCTAACTGTTGGATCAGTGTGTCCCTGGCACATTTGTAGAACAAATTCATATGTCAGCTTCCACAAAGCACTGGTAGTGCCTGAGCTTGCCAGCTCTGCCGTTCTACTGCAAATGAAACAAAATTCAGGCTAAATCCAGCCTCTGCACCCTGTTCCAAGACTGCAATTCAAGCGTGGGGATCAGAGGCCACCTCTGCAATGTTGGTTCTGGTTAATCACAAGTTTAAATGGGCTCCTTTTTCAGACAAGGACTGGGTATTGTTGAAACCTTGCAAAAGAAGTACATTCTTTTGAAAAGAATCCATTTCAATGTGCCAGAGACGTTTGGAGAAGTATTGATCTCTTGTGGTTTCCATAATTTTAAACACCTCCTGGATCAGGTAATCTCAACAGACTGGCACATCCACCTGGGCCAAAATTTCATGCTTTCTGTGTGTATATATGTTGCATAAAATGAAACGTGTTCACAACAGATTTGCTTAGCTGGCCCCACATTAATTGCTGCTGTGCCTACAGAAACTTCACCAGGCACAGACTTAACACCAGTTTTCATTTAATCAAGCTCCTAATTTGCATCCTCCACAAACTTTCAGCTTATGACTGGTTTGAAAAGGCTGCCCTGTCCCTGGAGGATTGATACATGATATTTTACAGGGCATGATAAATAATATTTTTAAAACTTAAATAAACAAGGTCTCTGAGTGCTTTCTCCTGAAAAGTTTTACTATGTTTATGACAATTTAAATATGCCTCTTGAGAGCCAAACCATGAAGATAAAGAATGCAACAGGGCCAGACAAGAGAGCCCTGGCATTCTCAACACAGACACATTGTAAAAGAAGAAAAGCCTGACATTTGCCCCAATTTTGGATGACCAAAAAACAGATAAATAAATTACTAAATAGGCTCATTACAGACTCGTTCTGTTTCTCATGTACCTACAGCAAAAAATGAATCACATTTTAATGCATGAAAACCAGGTGACAACACATTTGAATCCCGTATAAAATAATGAGCTGTATTTTCATTTGAGATGTGTCAAAATAAAATACCACTGGGAGAAAGTGTGTCTTACTGAATCCTTTATAATAGGCAACATAACCAGCAATGTGTGAAACCAGAGAAATTCAAACCCACACACTCAGAATCACCTTTAAAAGGTGGTGAGACCGGGTTATCCTTTCATTCTTTTTGGCTCTTCCTCTTAAAGAGAGGAGAACCCTCGAAAAGATTTTGGGCTCCACTAGGAATGCAGTTGCTTCATGGCAGATGCTGGAATTTTCAGTAATGAAATCCCCACCACTGCGTACAAACCCAGAGCAGAGAAGCCTCAGGTTTTGGTTGAGCACAGCCAGGCAGATCTTGAAACTCACTCTGATGTGACCAGCTGTATTTTGGGATTTTATACTTATTATAAACCCCCCTGATTTTGCCTGGGAGGAGGGAAAAAAGGTTGTGTTGTGCATTAACATGTAAATCAAGAATGAATGAAATATACCCATGAATCCCCTCTCTTCCATGGCAAGTATGTGACCATGGAATGCCCCACTGAAGGGGAAAACAAGTAAACAAAACTCAAACAATGAAAAAATAAAAAAGGAAAAAAGGAGGTTTCTTTTTAAAGTTAACAGAATGAAGCAGAGGTCCATGATAAAATGAATCCAAGGAAGGAATTTGTCTTGGTTTTGCAAATCTCAAAATTAGCTAAATCTCAAATTGGTGAACCAAAACCAATACAGAACTTCATCTTTACCCCTCCCTACAAGAGGGACATTGCCAAACACACCCCATTCCTTGAAACAGCACCACAAATTTCCTTCTGCTCTTGATCCACGTCTGTACTTACAGCCAAAGCTCCATCCTGTTTTTGGGATTTTGCTGTGAGTGCTCCCACATCTGCAGCAGATGTTACCTTTAACTCCCACCACACCTGCACTGCAGGTCACAGCCGTGCCTAAAAATCTTCTGAACCCTTGAAACACTTATGTCCCTGCTGAAATTCTCAGGTGAGCACACAGCAGGTCAAAGCCCATCTGAGCAATAAACAGGTTCACTCAGTGGGAGTGAGTATAAATTTATGCTTTTTGGCCTTCCTATGCAAGCTGCACTTCAAAGCTTACCTGCACTCCAGCTCTGAGCACAGCAATAACCCACTTGGGATCAGCAGAGAGATCAGAGGAGAAAGCAGCTTCCTCCAGTGTTCAGCATCCCTTCTGTGGGGAATATAAAAGTAAGATGATTTTTAGAAGGTTTAGAAATAGAAAGAGTAGAGGGAATTAGAGCTGGCTGTAACTGCAGAGCTTTTGCCATTTTTCTGTTGTCTCAACTATGTAACGAGGCTAATACTGCAATAAAAGCTCAAGGAATGTCCTGTTCATGAAACAAAATCCCATTTTTCCCCTCCCTGCTCATCTTTGCCCCCTTTTCCAGCAGCCAGGTGAGCCCATGGCTCTGGAGCAGACCCTCCTGGGCACAGCTGGGCTCTCACACCGCGTTCCCTTGGGACACTCCAGCCCCTCCTGCCCTTGTCCCTCTGCCATGGCCTCCCTCTGAACTCACATGGGTGACAGATGCTTTTTCTCCCCCACCCCTTTTTGTCAGCAGGATAAAAATAAGTGATTTAAATCAGTCTCTCTTTAGTACCCAACCAGCTAGCCCTGCCTAATATTTGTAGTCTAAATAATCGCCATATGTGGCAGTGGAATACAAGTTTGTGGCCTTTTTTTTTTTTTTTTTTTTTTTAAATAGAAGTTAATCCAGCTTTGAGCTGGATTAATTCCCAATGAGGCTTGGGGACAGACAGCTGTTTCTCTTCCTTGGCCTGGGAGTACTGCCCTCAAAAACCCACCTATACTTGTCAGCATCCCTGATGGACACGAGTTGTGCTCATTTTCAGATCCCTGTTTCACCCTACATTCAGGGGCAGCATTGCACCAGTGTCTGATTCTCAAAAATGAAATAATAAAAAAGAAGGTATGACATTTGGAAATGTTTTGTTGACTATTTTGCCATGGAATAAGAAAGACTTCAAAGCTCCCATCTTCATTTGGAGAGTTGGGAAGGAAGAATATTTGCAAAGTAGACATTTGACAGGAAAATCAGTATTAGCCTGTAGGGCAGTAGAGGAGCCAGATAAATCCTGTGCTGGCTCTTAAGGCTGAAACCTCACAGAAACAGTTTTAAGGAAACAAGCCCTGAAGTGCTTATTTACCCTGTGCCACATGACAAGCAGTGGTGAAAAAAACAGCAGGAAAGAAGAGCAAAAGAATCAACTAAATAATAGTCTCTTGTACTTTTCAACCTGTTCATCCAAAAAAACACCAAAAAAACAAAGAAAGACATAAAGGAAGAAAGGAGGGAAGGAGGGAAGGAAGGAGGGAAGGAAGGAGGGAAAAAAAAAAAAAAAAAACAAAGAAAGACATAAAGGAAGAAAGAAAGAAAGATTAACGTTCTACTTATTCTTTGGCCCCCCAAACTGTATCCGCAGCCAGAAAAATTACCTGGAGACCCTTTTTTGGCTGGAGAAAACAGGAGGAGCAGGATATCCAATATGCACATTAAAATAGTCAAGGAATACTGTTTCTGAAGTAAGGCTAGAAATCATACCTGAGGTCTGAAGGCAAAGGCAGTTGCTTGGCAAGGTTTAAATCTCTGTCTCTGCAGTTTTGTTTTCTCACACACATTATGTAAGCAAGTCACCTCACACCTAAAATGTGTCTCAATTTGTGTTTGTTCTGCTTTTTTATTGCCACATTTGAAAATTAATAATTCAATGTCCTAATATTAGCTGTCATCTTAGCTGTGATAAAATTAATAATTCATCAAACCGAAATCAAACAAATGCCACCTTTTTATGCTAGATGAGGAATATACTTTGCTACATTTGCAGAGCTAAATTTGGTGAGATTCACCACTTTATTTTGAATGAAATCATGTTTTACCAATTAATATATCATTTTATCATCCCCACTCTCTTTGAAATTACCTCTAAGGAAGGGTTTTGCACAGCCACACAGGTTTTATTTTTACAACATATTTTTCCCAGATGAAAAGAACTGTGGTTTGAAAAGGCAAGGAGCATTCACTCACTTTTACACCCTTTCCTCCTGGTCATGCACATCCAACTTTTCCTGGGAAAGTATCCACTGTACCTGCAGAGCTCTGGCTAAATTCCAGATTTGTGTAATTACACTCAGCCTGTCTAAATTATTGCTGGAAATAGGTTTTTTTGGCTTTTTTGGAGAGGGAATCCCCCCTTTTCCCTGAGTTGTTGGGGAGTGCTGCAAGTGCTGCTCCTCTCAGCAGGAGCAGAAGGGGAAGGGATTTCCAAGTGTGGAGAGGTGGAGAACAGCCTGTGTTAAATTTGCAAAGCGTTTGGAGATCCTTTGGGGTGAGAGGTGCTATGTAAATGTGAGGTCACTGCTGTTATCTGGGGTGCAAATGCATCCTGGGCTGTGATAGAAGCTTAGGGGGGGAAAAATGAAGGGGGAAAAAAAAACTGCAACAAAAAAGGAGGGGGGAAAAAGAGTAAGGAAAAAAATAAAAAAAG